TCTCTCTTTCTAACATTCATTTATCACGAAGATATGTTCATCGTATATTATATCAGAACATTTCATTTAGATAATGTAATCTGATAATACATACTTGATTAAAGAAATAATTAATACAATAGGTATATTGTTCAGAATATTAACATAAAGACAATCAAGATAAACTAAAATGAATTCTATAGTTATTGAAACAACAAATTTTGCTTTTTGAATCTTTCTTCGTACAGAATGAATGATTATTTTATTAATAATATTGTCAGTACCAATGAGCCAAACTAAAAAAAATTATTTATTAGAAAAAAATGTACCAAAATGGTGCCCCCCCCCCTTCCCGAGGTTTGCACCGCTAGACAATCTCTTAGTTTGCGCCAGCCCTGCTTGTGATACAATAAGATCCCCAGGTAATGAACCGTATTTTTCTAATGTCTGAAAGGTGGACCCCATTTTGATGGAAATGTATTTACTTGCCTTGCTGATAGCACAAAATTTGAAGAATATAATACCTATATATGCTTTGAGGCCATTCATAAATTACATAACGCGAAAGAGGGGGCGGGTTGGGGCAGCGTTGCGATACATTGAGGTACGAGGATCATAGTTTAGTGTAACGTAACGCTTATATTTATTTTCAAAAAATTTCAATATTTTCTGAAAGAATTCCTTTTATTTAATCTTACACTAAAAAATTAAAATATTTAAAAATTTAATTAAAATATAAATAAATTAAAAAGTTATGCTTATTTTCTTCTCAACCGAAAAGATTCAAAATTGATGAAAAAATATTTCTGTTTATTCTAACAATTTTCCATCATATGTTATAACTGAACCTTGTATTTTATGACAAATGCATATTTAGTTCCTTTAGGACATTGTGAAAAATAATTGCAGATGTTTTCGAATCACGAAAAAATATATTTACAAAAAGTATCTAATAGTGTCTACAATGTTCTAAAAGGGCGGATGATGATTATTCTAATATTTATTATAACAAGTAATTTTGAATAATTATCACATTTTAATTACTCATTTTTTCAATTCGCTGTACTGAAATGCAAATACTTTCCTGAATTACCCAAATCGTGAATATTCCCTGATCGAATACGCAATTGCTTACGCACCAAAATCTCTCGCCCAACCATTACCAGGTAAAAATAGGTGGTGTTGATCCAACATACCGAACATTAGGAGCTTTGCAAGTCAATACAAAGAGGATGTTTCACCCTCGTCTCCGAACAGCACGCACTTCTAAGGATTGCACTCTTTCTCGGGGCACGTGCTCTGTTGACAGATTGAGAACGAAAAATGTGAAAGAATGAAATGAAAAGAAATGAAAGTGAATAAAATAATGTGCTTGTAATTACTCTCGTACACGTCAAAACACTAGAATTTCCTGAAAAAACAAGTGCCAAATTTAATCCATTTGTGATCAGTTTTAGATGCCAAAAACAAAACCTTTCTTATCCAATCTTTTTTGCGTGGTTTAATAATTTTGTAACCAATTTTAGGTGACTTAAACGTCTTTTCATGCCTAATAGTGTCTAACTTTATAATTTTGTTGCGTATTTCAGTTGCCTAAATCATCACTTTTGGTGCAGTTGTAACTCGAAGTCGCTGGATTTGCCTGGCCGCCAGGCGCTAGTGGCGGTGGCGACTCCTTGTCATTTAAAAACAACGCCAGCCTGACATTGTCAAACAGCAGTCGGATTCAATGGGCTTATAGCCCTACGTTTCGCAACACTGCTCTCCAAAAGGCCCGTCCATAAATTACGTAACGCAAATTTGGAGAATTTTGAATTTCTCCTCTCTCCGTTATAACGCGCGCTTGATTCTCTCCTAAATAATTATGTAACGCTTGCGACAAGACACACTTACAATAAGTAAATAATCATCTACTTATTAGCAGTAATACTAAATAATAATAATAATAATAATAATAATAATAATAATAATTTTAATTACTGCTAAAATACGAATCAAGACAGCAATGATGCATGTATGGACGCGAATTCATGAATACACTTACCTTATTTGCAGAAAGCTATTTTCATTTAAACTTTTAAATTAAAAAAAGTTTTGTTTCACGCGTTGTTTGATTGGGAGTTTTTGAACTGATAATTGAAGTTTCATGAATCAATGGAGTGTTTACTGTACAATTTACTGAATTTGTAATTTTTACATCGAGTTATTTTCCATTAATTTAAATTTTAAGAAGAAGATAATGGAAATTTATACGAAATTGTGTTAATAAAATGTCAATAAACCTATATTATAAATATTCAGTTTTTCTATATAGCTTCATCAAAAATGATTTTATTTTTATTTATTTAACGTCAAAAGCAGTTAAAAACTGTATGTGACGTAGTATGGAGAGTGTAACTTCACTCACTTATTTACTTTTTGCATGTTTAGGCACAGGTACATATGACAAATACTAAATTACAGTAGCATGGGATTCAATATATTTATTATATTTACGCCTTCTCTGTTTTTTCCAAAATCAATGGCAGGCTTAATGGTAAGCGGCTACATAGGGCCCCTGAATACTGTAGGGGTCCGAACTTCGCAATAATTTGTTTCACACGTGCGCACACACCCACGCACGCCCACACACACACATACACACATGCACGTACAGACATAAACTTCATTTGGCAACGATGCTGTGAAGAATCATACCCTCTCCAGGGCCATCATGGATTAGAATAGGAGTGTCCAACTTACAAGGCTTCAAGGGCCACAATTCAAATCTGTAATATGGTTACGGACCATATTTCCATTACTTAGGCAATCCACACCTGACTTCACCGTGTCTATCTCGGAACTTCGCGCGGCTGCTCTGAAGCGGGGAGAATGGAATCATGTGTGATATCAGGCATAATGCTTTGAAACACTATACATTTGAAATGCATACGGGTGATTTTGAATTGCTGAATTTATTAGAAAAAATCCTTAAATATAAATTTAACCTGTTTTTACATTAAAGGGGAGTGTTGACCCCCCAGGCAGGACGCGTACTCTAAGCAATGTTCTCGCCAATGGATGAAAGGGACTTTCACTTTTTACTATAATCCTTCGCGAGTCACACTAATGGCACCGTGAACCGCATGCGACCTGCGGCCAGCCAGTGGGGCAACCCTGGATTAGAAGTATAGATTGCTCGTTTGAAAGCGGGGTTGATGGATTCCTAAATCTTGTCGCCGGTGCAATGTCTTGGGCATTTCCGAATATTGTAATATTCTTGAATATTTTTCTAATAATTACTTTATGTAATATATCGGGAGAAAGTTTATTTTGAGAAAAAAGTGAGAAAAAAATATTTAAGGAAGAATTACCATTAAGAAGAAGGACTAAATCACTTGGTGATTTGTATATAGAACAGAAAATTTTAAACACTGACACTGACAAAGTAACTGTTAATTTTGCAAGAAATAAAGCTAGGCGTAAATTCATATAACATTTTTTATCCAAATTTATTTAGTATTTGAACTTTTTCATTACTTTCATTTTGTTAATACGTTTATGGCTTCATTTTTCTTAATAAGTTAACGTCGAAATGGGATTAGCCGTTCCCGAGATTCCCGAACAAACAAAAATTGTGATTTATTTATTTATTTATTTATTTATTTATTTATTTATTTATTTATTTATTTATTTATTGCTGCGTTTCAGTACAATAAACTATTAATTAACACTTATTTTACAGATACAGACATTTGATGACTTTATCCGCCCCCCCCCCTTATGAATTGTGTATTCTAAGCAATTACTTATTTTGCTTGAAGGTACCTGTAAATACTGTTTTGGATAAATCCCGACTTGCATTAAAAGGAAAAGATATGTAATTCATTTGATCAAAAATTGTTCTGTAGGTCGTATGAGATAGTACTCTTTTGTACAGAAATGAGTATGAGTGGGTTCTAATGTCAAGCCGATAAAACTCTCAAATACGATCAGAAATTAGCGTTTTGAATAAGCAACTAATGAATATTCGTGAACTTGTCTCATAACTCTCACTAATTTGAGAGCGAAATTCCTTCACAAAAACTCGTTCTGAAAGTGTTCTCACATCCAGATGCCATTTGCAATTATATTCCATTCGGTTTCTGTTTTGAGAAAGAAAGAAAGAAAGAAAGAAAGAAAAATGCTTAAAACCGTCTTTCTTGGAGGTAAACTCTCGAGTGACGGAAAGTCCCTCCACTCCTCGTCATGCAAATTACAGGTAAGATGACATAGCAAAATCGCTACTCGATCAGAGAACGATTTATTACCTTTCAAGACAAACAAACTACTGCAACTTTTTATAAGTCAAAATTGGATTTTAACCATTCCTGAAAATCCATTTGGTCGGATATTATAAATGCCAATAAATGTATCGAAGACTAGTGCTTGTGTCCTCGTGATAACTATGAAGTTATTTCTGTTAATTCATCAAAGAGTTATTAGTATTAGATCATGGCAATTATCACACATTTTCTGCAAATTGGCAACCACTTAATAAAATAAGTTCGTCGTATTATAATGAATTGGGGAACAAACGTGGGTGTATACATTGACATAAGCATCAACAAATATTAGTCGCATCAACAGCGTCGTAGTGGTTGTAATAGACACAGTATTATCCATTAGACACAGTATTATCCACAGTAATATCCATATCGATACAACAAATTCGGTTCAAGTATGTCCTGATTTTGATTTCTGCATTTTTAAAGTAAGTTTCAGAAGCATAAAAAGTAGATAGTTTATCGTTGGGTAATGTTCGCACAGAGTGAACAACCAATTTCCATTTTTTGGTCCACTCATTGTTTTTGTGTACCTACTACTTAATTGACTATTGATGTTGATTTCAATAAATGTTTTGTTTAGGTATTGTTCTTTGGCCTGGTATTATTGAAGGTGTCTCTTTAAAAATGTGTATAAAAATATGTATTTAAAATAAAGGAGTATTTTTTTTAAGAAAAAAAAATATTTTTTTGAACTTTTTGTAAAGTAAGTTCACTGACTTTCGAACAACTTGACATGTTTTGACGGAGGCGGTTCCCTCGAACCGCCGAAAACAACTCGAAATTGCTCGATATCAATGAATTATACTCTCTGTCAATGAGTCTACATTTTCTGTTTCAACGAAATGCTTTTATTTTTACACAACCGCGTGGGACTTGCACCTTCTGTAACTGTGTTTCGAGTGTGGAGCAGGTGCTGGCTGAGCAGGTGAGGTGGAGGGGTTTGGTGGGGTTCGTTTTCCGCGCTATTTCCATGTGCGTATCTTCGCGAACATTCGTGTTCAAATAAATTTGCTGAAGGTGATGGAAACGTGCAGCGTGGAATTTGACGCAAGAGAGGTGAAAGAAGACTGATTGGATGTTGCAGTTTTCCTTATCTGACCTGTCGCTGTGGCTCTGACGAAGAAAAGTAAAAATGCTTACTCTCACGTTAAGTATTGGATTCAGTCACATCGTTTCGCAAGACACTCCTGAAAGAATTAATAAATAATGTTGTAATGTAATTAAATCAATTGTTTACTAACCTCAATGGATGCCACTATTTCGGTAAATAAACATTGTTACTTTAATCACATAGGTTTTGTCACTCGGGCAAATATTTGTTTGGAAGTGTCAACTTTTAATTACTCTGGTAAACTGGAGATTTTGAAGGGAAGTTAGGTCTCGTGAATTTAATAAAATTGGTTGATGAATTTCCATCTATGTACAGGCTAGTGTGTGGTGCACGTTGGCAAAATTCCTGCAGAGAAGTCCAGGTGACATGTTTTGCTGGGGAAACACTGTGAATGGAGAGTTGGGCTTGGGGGGTATTGAAGAGGAAAATATTTTGTCACCCAGAGAACTCAGTTTTGCAAAATCAACAAGTGTGCTTCAAGGTAAGACAACATAACATAGCGAGTTGTTAAACTTCATTTTAATTTTATTCTCCTTTGTCTGTGGATTTATAATGCATATAAGAATTCAACATTGTGTATTTTTTTCCTTTTGGCAATCCACTTGATTAAGCCTGAAATATATTTTTTACATGATTTTTATGGTTAAGGTGTTGAATTGGTTTTTGGATATGCCAGTTTGTGGCATATAACAGTTCTATGTGTAATGTCAATCTTAAATATTGTTTTGTTGCTTACAGTGGCTTGTGGATGGCACCATTCTGTAATGGTCACGGACAATGGTCAAGTTTATTCATGTGGTAGCAATGATTTTGGTCAACTTGGTCATGAAAAGACTCGGAAAAAACCTGGTAAAATATTTAATTCAAATCTGGTTATTAAATAATCAATATGATTGTGTATTCAAATTTTCAGTTATATGGTATTCTGGAGTTTTAGACCGTCAAAACATGTTTCATGTTTCACATAATTGAAGGCATTAAATAGGCAAACATGCTTTGTGTTTTGATTGTCCAAACATCCAAGAACGTTACAGAATTTTTAAAAGTTAATAATTTAAGTGTGTTTTGAAGAAAAAGTAAAAAAACATAATAAAAGAACAATAGTGTTCTGGTTATTGTAATCAGTATTACTCATAGGCTGTACTAGATTAGCTTGGTTTCATTATTTAATTAAAATAAAGCTTGAGAACTCAAAAACTTTTTTGTAAATTATTCAAATTGATGTTATTTGGGGTTCCAATTTGTTAGTTAACAAATAGCTGAGCACTCAATGGCAAATTCAAAGCATACCTTACAATTCATTCAATTATTTTGGTGAAGAATGAATTGAAGTGTTGTGGATACGTAGGGAGGAACTCTGCATAAAACAAAATAAAACCAAAGAGAGAAAAAAAATCAGATACTGACTTTGTCAATTGACATTAATGAGTAGGTAGATAAGTTTTTTTTCTGGGATCTGCTGTTTATCATCAGGAAAATAGTACTGAAAGTAGTGCATCTATTTTCTAACAGTGATAAAGTTTCAGATAAAAATAATGAATGCAACATCCTGTTTCTTTTTTACGTAGTAACTGCCCACAGTGTTATAAACACTTTTTTAAACAGAAACTGTAGGTACGAGTTTGGCCTTGTATCTACAATAAATGGTTTGTACAAAAGACCTCTACGTTTTTCATATGGTACAAATGTTATTTATATTTCAATGTCATTTCATTTTCCAAATATCAGAATTTTGTTACACAAGTTTTTGTAGTGAGGGTGTCTAGGAAGCAGGGCTGGATTTGTTTACAAGCAAAGAGCTGTTGCTTGGGGTCCGTATCTATGAGGGGGGCCTGTGCTTTGGAAAAATATTCATAACTTATTTTGTGACAAAATGTATTTAATGTAATAAATGCGTGTAAAATTTTATATACTAAATTATTAGTTTCCATTTGTCAGAAAGTACTTGTATTAAGATACGTTTTTTATCTAATAAAGATAGAGCTATTTTTGAGGGAGAGGAGGAACACAAGTTTGTGCTTGGAGGCCGTGCAGTACTAAAATTCAGCATTGCTAGAAAGTTAAACAGCTTAACTGATAATTTGTAGTAACTGATACAAGAGTTCTTGAATCAGTTATTACAATTTTTTTAAAGCAGACTATTAATTAAATATGTTGAACTTGATTCGTATTTTCTATCTTAAACATCTGTGAATTTGCTAGCTAGCAGTTTTTAAGGAAGGAGAATTGTCCAGTCCGAGGCTCCAACTGAATGGCCTGGACTTGTAGAAAAGAATGGTGTAATGCACAACACATGCATGGTTTAATATTGTGTTACAGCTCTACTTTCTCCTATAGGTTATTGCAAGGCTCTACCCCAATTTGGTGTTTATTGCAAATAGTTATTGTTTTCTTAGATTAATTTACTTACCTTGAGTTAACATGTCATACATCTAGAACAACCATGTGTCAATGTTTATTACTAGATAGTTATTTCTCATTCTCAACTGCCATTGAAATTATGCTTGTAGATTAGAACATAAATTAATAAAATATTTTCACCATTACAAGGATCATTTAAGAAGCACGGCAAATTTGCATTAAATTGGAGGAATGGTCATTAATCAATATTATTGTAAAAAAGTGTCAATATTACAGTGCTTAAACAGGAATTTTCAACTTGAACTAATCTGCTGTTTTTAATTCATAGTCCTTTGAGTTGTTCAACTTATTAGGACAGGATTATGAAGAAAAATAATTTCATGAAATTAAGCATTGTTATTTGGAGGGTGGAACTGCTTTGCTTGCTGAGTTGAGATTTGTTGTGACTCAATCTTGTTCTGAATACTATTGATGTATGAATGAGAGTTTGACATTCAGCCTCTGGTGGTGAAGCTTGCTCCAGCTGCCCAGTTCCAGTCACAGATGGAATTCAGTGAAAAGTTCCATTACATTATCTGACTACACTGACAATAACAATTTACAAGATATTAATCTCTGCAAGCTTTTCCACAGAGTACCGACTTTTCAGCATTCTGCGCAGAAAAGAAATTATGAAAACAATGTGTGCTTGCTGGGTATCATGATTGCTGATAGTGGATCAGAAATACGTGAGAAATAATATATCCATCTGATGTTTAATCACAATCAATGGAATTTTCTGTGTTGATTTATGACTGGAGGTGAAAATTTAATTTGAGAGACGGAGTTGAACCTCTGAGTTAAAAAGAATGTAGATGTGGATGAAACCTGGTGATTGTGTATAGAAGCAGCCAATGACAGTTTCTGGCAAAGTTATGACTATTGCTTTAAGGGCTTTCCAAGAAATAACTTCAGGACGTTAGATTACTTAGAAATGGATAATTCCATAACAGAAGCCTATTGTGATTCAATGATAGGTTACTTAAAAAATATGAAAAATGTCTTGGACTCTTCATAATAGTGCTGCTTCACCTGCCCAATGTCTAATCTCGTTTATTGCAAATTGCATGGGCAAGTGGCTGAGAACTGGGCGCTGAGTTAATTCCACCACTTTTTTCTCTGATCTTAATGACTATTTTCAGTTCCCCTGTAAAAATGGAATAAAAATTGTTTGGCTCAATGGAAAAAATAAAAAAATGTGGACATTGTTACCAACTTGAATGACTGTTTAATTTAACAATGTTTCAGTTCGAGAAAAGTTGGTAACTTACTAACACAAGGTGTATTTTCTTTGTCTTTTTGTTTTGATGTGACAATAATAATATTGGAATACAGTTTGCTAAATTTGACCCCTTAACATTTTCTAAAATATTGTCTCTAGGGTAAATGATAGTAAATTAAACCTGGTATTCTGGCAAAGTCACTCAGCATTCAGACAGGCCAAGGTAACTTGGATCTATAAATATTAGCACTTCATTATTGAATTTTACCAGGAAGCGTGAATTTAATGTCAATTATTTGCATTTACCAAAATTGTTCAGTATCCAATAAGAGAAACTGAAAATTGATACAGTAGGTAATTGCTGATGATCATATTGTGCTATGAAGAAAGTCCAATTTTCTTTACTTCATATTTCATTACAAAATGGTTTTTTCAATATTTTTCAGAGATGATAGATGCCCTTTCAGCCTATGTCATTATTGGTGCATCATGTGGGGCAAATCATTCATTGGCTGTTAATGAATGGGGACAGCTGTTTAGCTGGGGTTCTGATTCTCATGGACAACTTGGTAAGAATATAAATAATTCAACTTCAGTTACTTATAGCATACCAATCTTATTTGTGTTTGGCATCTGAGAGTTATATATTGACACTACCATTGTATTCTTGTAATTTTTAATTCTTTCTATTTTGTTGAGGCTTTTTTAATTTCAATAGTTTTTCTAATTTCATTTCTTATTATTGGTGTGTTTAGTTTTAGCAAAGCAGTATGTAAGAATCCACAATTCTTGGTACGACACCACTTGATTTCAAACTGTAGTGTTTCCTCTCACTAGATTTTAAAGATGACCTTTAACAGAATTGATTTTGTTTTAAAGTAAATTTCTTCAGACCTTGCCTTATTGCCTAAGTAAAATTTCTGGAGTGATAAAATAATTAAGTGTCAGAATTGTGATTGATGATAGCTGGGCTCAGATTCTAATGACCTAAAAATTCTTTGGAAATCACCAATAACTTAAAAATAAAGGGAAAATGTTGTAATTTTTTTAAAAATACTAAAAAATTTGTTTGAAAATGTTTACTTATTTAGTGAATTTTAGACTTTTAAATAAAATTTCTTTATATAAAATGATATTTAATATATTATCAGATCCCTCCTGATGAGTGTGTTCTGCCCTTACTAACTTGCTCTACATACAGCATACCAATCTTCTTTGTGTTTGGCATTTGAGAGTTATATATTGACACTACCAGTAGCAGAAGCATCCCTAATGTTGTAAACTTTGTTTCTTGACATCAACTTGGAAGGCACAAATGAAGGGAATATGGTGAAATTCTCATTGCTGTGAAGTACTGATACTTGCACAGCGAGCATGTGGCAAGGGTAGTGGAGTGTGTCAATTCTACCAGACCTGATGCAGAATTGTTGAGCATAAAGATGATTGGTACAAAGTGTAGTTTCTACTATTTCTTCTATTGTTCGTTATTTTTGATTTATTAGGTATGAGTCAAGAAATGGATGTTCAGCCAAAACCCAAAATAGTGAAGGGCCTAGCCACATGTCATGTAATACAGATTACATGTGGCCTAAATCATTGTTTGGCATTGACTAACAGTAAGTAAAAATAGTGATTCTTTTTTTTTTTTTCCTTTCTGAAGTGTTTTCCAAAAAGGATACCCATGAATGGTATATAATTGTAATAAAATGCATATTATAATGTTACAAAATGCACCTAAAAAGGGAAACCGTTCAAATGGCCAAAGACACCACGAATGGGTAGGTAGCTTGACTGACCACGGTAACAAAAGTTTTCATTATCATGAAACATAAGTGAAAATTACAAATAGCCAAAGTTGAAAGGTAAATATTACTTGCCCAACTTTTCTTGAACGATGGATTGAAGAAATGCAGGTAGAGGTGGGGTATTAGTTATGAAATTGGCCACTGGATTTTATGAAACAATGCCAATCTCAGGAGAATCACTCATGCCTTCGCAACTTTCTCAAGAGTTCGAGGTATCTCCTGTGATGAATCTTCACCTGCTTTGGTCATTTCTTTAGATTTTTTGGATAAAATCACAGACAGAAGTTCTTGTCTTCAACGGAAAATAGTTTCAATTTTCCACAAGTGAAGATGTTTGGAATGTTGTCATCAGTGCACGCTGCAAGCTTTTGTCTTCAAATGTTTATTGTGGGGGAAGCAAAGTCATTGTTCAAGAAAAGTTGCGCGAGTAATACTAACATTTCCTTACACTTTCACAGGTACCTCAAATGGTTCAACCTTCCCTACTTGGATATTACAATAGCTGCTTAATACACTTCACACATACCTCGTGACTCTTAATCATGGAATGTAGTTAAAACGTAAATTCTAATATCCATTTGTAGTATTCATATTTCCCCTCTTTTGTCATCATGTCCTACATTTATTCCTATAGTAGAAAGACGGGCACTAGTTTTGCGGAATCTTGTTTGTTTTCAGAGGGAATGCTCATACCTAGCCATCAGAGATTTTCCTTTGTGGTCCGGAATGATATGTAGAGGCTGGATGGTGTGTACTACTTGCTGACACACATAGCTTCTTGTGAGAATGCCTCGCTCTCATTAGAATGCGATCATGCCCAACCATGCCCAACCATGCCCTGTGGTAATGGATTAAGATGGAGATGGAGTAGCTAAACAAACGAAAAACGAGATATTTTCAATTATTTAGTTTCTGTTGAAGTTAAGTTTATTTCCTTGCAGTAGAGAAAGTTGACATATAGAGCGAGATTCCTAACCAAAGGGCAGCACTAATTTTCTGACTAAATTGCACATAGGAATGAAAAACTTTCATTATTTTTTTTATTTGCTAATGAAAAATGCTTCTTGTTGATTTTTCTTCTGATCTGTGGAGTTTTATTCACAAAGGGCTCAACAAAAATGGGGGAAGTCTGAAAGTGTATATTGAAATCTTTCTTTTCTTAATCTTGTGGAATGCATAATTGAATATAGTAATGATTTGGTGGAAATGTTACAATTTAGGTACCAATTAGGTATTTCCAGTATTTCACATATATCAGGAATATAATAGAGTATTCATTTGTAATATAGAAGGATATTCACGAACAGTGGTGTATCATGGTCATACGGGATACAGGTGGTGTGTGGATGTGTGTGCGTGCGTGGGTACACATCGGCTCACATTGACGTACTCCTGTTCTACACTAGTAGGTGCAACAGCATTAGAGGGAAATTGAACTGGAAAAAGTCATTCTGATGGCAGCACAAAGAGCGACTTCAATAATAGGTCAATAACATGCGATCAATAATAGGTCAACATTCTCGAAATCTGTTGGCCTTATTAATTCTCTCTGTCTGACTCTCTCTCTCTCACTCTCTTCTATCTCTCTGTCTCTCTCTGTCTGCCTCTCTTTTGTATCTCTGTCAGGCTATTTTGTATCTTTCTGCCTCTCTCTGTCTTGTATCTGTCTCTGCCTCTCTCTGTCACACACTCTCTCTGTCACACACTGTCACACACTCTCTCTGTCACTCTCTCTCTGTCACTCTCTCTCTGTCACTCTCTCTCTGTCACTCTCTCTGTCACTCTCTCTGTCTCTGTCTCTGTCACTCTCTCTCTCTCTGTCACTCTCTCTCTCTCTGTCACACTCTCTCTCTGTCACACTCTCTCTCTGTCACACTCTCTCTCTGTCACACTCTCTCTGTCACACACTCTCTCTCTGTCACACACTCTCTCTCTGTCACACTCTCTCTCTCTGTCACTCTCTCTCTGTCTCTCTCTGTCTCTCTCTCTGTCTCTCTCTGTCACTCTCTCTGTCACTCTCTCTCTCTGTCACTCTCTCTCTCTGTCACTCTCTCTCTCTGTCACTCTC